CACATCTGACGATGGCCCAACTTTACAGAATGCTGAATAGGGCCGTCATGCATCCATAAACCCAGTTAAAAGCACAAGTGATAGATAAAAGAGAAATAAAAAAAATGCAAACATGTCATTACTGCTGCTCAGCTCCTCAGTAGGAGGGATGACTAACTCAGAGCCCTAACCTTCGCTTGCCTACAACCACCTAAAATCCTCTGCTGAATTCTCACTTCACATTTCTTGTGTGGCAGGGACAAACCTTGTATTGTTAGGTAGCATTTCTATAGATACAAAAATAAACAGGCTCAATTTTTAAACTTTATTTAAAATATTTCATTAGCCTAAGAAGTTATACAGTGTTCTAAACTGAGGGTCACATAGTATAGTATATGAATATGTACACTGTATGAAGTTGCGTGTCCATTTTCTGCCTTGTGCTTACTCTGTATGTCAGGTCTTCTTTCACATTAACATGTGCATCTGTATATATTTAACCGTGTAAATTCAGAATCGGGCTGCAAGGTGGCTCGGTGGTTAGCATTGTTGCAAAATCTGATGCTATTAAATAGTTAGAATTTAATACTGTGACAAGTGTAATGATTATTTTATAACACTCCAAACCCCAAAATATTTGTTTTAATGTAATGTTAAGACAAAGAAAAACAATGAGCTTAACCCTCTAAACTCCAAGCAGTTTCTGGACGTTTTTAGCTTTTGTCATATTTGTACTCACTGTGTCCTGTAAAGTTGTACCCCTCTAAAAACACAAGTTGAATATTTATTTTACAAAAAAATGGAAAAAAAACGACTGGAATCAACGTGTACAAGAGTGCACAGGTGTTACTAATAGTCACTCTGCATAATATAGATATTCAACTATTTCCATTTGTCTCCATACTCTGCTCTGTGTAAACTCAGTCAGTAGTTCTGCTGAAAATACCCTGAATTTTTTTATCATCTGTTGGTCATGGCTGAGTCACTCATAGCTCCTCTGGAGAATCATGGATTTTTTTATTTTATTTTTTTTTTCTCCAAAATCTGGTTAAAGCAAATGGTTTACTTTTGACTAATTCTTATATCAGAAATCTTAAACCAAACAATTTTCATGAAAAATTTTGATTTTAAGTTTAGATTTGGTTAAACTACCCGGCCACGTCACAGATGAATAGATCAAGGATTGTCAGAAAGTTAGAAATCTAAAGATTCTACCTGTTTTTCAGGTTGTGTCTGATAAATGGTATAATTTTGGTGATTTAAAAAAAAAATCTGGTGTGTCTTGTATGTTTCAAGGTTCAGAGGGTATACTAAGTGAAGGTTTGGATTTTTAAAATACATTTTCTGCCAAAATCAGTCACCTTGATATAGAAAAAACAAAAAAGCAAATTATAGTACATTTAAAAACAAAATGCTGACAGGTGAGTATTACAGGAGCTTTTAAAACGTCTGTCACCGACACAGATTCATGTCTGTGAGCTGTGTTGGGAGTGAAAGTGAGCCTGATGTGAGACCTCCAGCCTGCAGTGGTAGTGACAGTCTCTGACCCCTGAGGGGAAACAGCAGCGTTTCACACTAACTTAGAGTGTCTTTGTTGTTGTAGTGTCTTGTTGTACCAGTCTGCAGTGTCAGCGAGCAGTCACCCTGCAGGCAGCCATTAACAGCAGCTAATGCAGTCTCTTCTCCTCTGTTTCACCTGAGAAAAGCACATCAGCAGGTCAAAGGGACACACTGTCCCTCAGAGCCTCATTCTTCTGAAAGTGGATTTACAAGTTCATACTGCAGCTGGGTGACGCCAGCGCCGTGGTGTCCGTATTGATGAGGGGGCATCGGTGTTGTGTATTGCGCTCATCAGTGTTGGAAGTATCAGTTCAAACTTGCAAATCATGGCTCACCCTCAAAGCTTAGTCATCGTGCTGTGAAACCGGACGCGTCTGTGGGCAGATCTGCTGAAGTGTTAGAACACCTCCTGACTGCTGTCCCAGCTCGTTCATTTGATCAGTGAGGGCTGTCGTTCTTCCACCATCAACAGAGTCCTTCAGTTACCTCTCATCACCCGCTCCATGCACCGGTCATTTCATTACGAGTCATCACTTTCTACCTTCACATTAGTGATGGCAGCTTCAGAAGAGGAAAACATATGCCGGTCAATGTGTTGCTATGGTAACATCAACAGTGGAAGCCACATCCTCCAGTTTGCTTCAATGATGTTCTCTCAGTATTTGCTTCATATTTGCTACGCTTATATATTAGAATGTGAATATGACTTCACTTCACATGCATTTTTAAATATTATTTTATCATTTAAACAGTTTTCATCCTTTCACTGGGCTAAGTTTTAACTCCTTAGTCATGTAAATGTAACCATCAAGATTCATAAGGGTCATATTTAGACTTTTTGACATCTCTGGTTGGTTTATTATCTTTTATTGTGGCTCCTGCTTCAGATTATGATTTATCATTGTGCTCTTTTCTTCGTCCGAACAGTCGCAGTTACTGCTGCTCATAACCACAAGGCAAAGCATTTTTATTTATTGAGCAAATGATATAATTTAATTTAAAATTGCTAAACAAGATGCATAAACAAATTAAAACAAGATAGGATGGGGAATAGCATTAGAACCTGCAGTGTGGAACTTTTGACTCCACTTTCTGACAGTAAGAATAACAACACAAACATTGTCAATGCGTGGTGATGATGTACGACGTGATCCTTCCTCGAAATGCAGAGTTTCTTTTGTATCATCACAACATCAGCACGAGAGACTCTTCTTTGACACCTGCTAGTAGGGCTGCACAATATATTGTTTTAGCATTGACACAGCAATCTGTGCATGCGTAATAGTAGAAGTATTTCAATCAAACTCAGCACGGTACAACTTTTTTTGCTGCTTGACACCAAAAAAAATCTCACACAGTTCACATTTTTCATAACTAGTCTGAAAGAGAAGTCTAATAGAGCATCATTTACTCCAATCCAAAAAGTTCTTGAGCACACCAAGGTAAAAAAAACAATTACAAGACACAGAGTTTATTGACATGTGCAGCAAAATTTGCAAAGAGCAGGAGAGGAATGCTGAAAGGGAAGATTTTGTTGCAAAAAGTAACATCACATCAGTTTTTTTGAAATATTTCACCCACAGAAAGAACACAAGTTTTTCTGCAAGCAAAGCAAATGATTTGTTCGAAGTTTTAAATCAGCACCACAAAGTTCTGTATGAGGCGCAACGTTAGATGTGAATGGCATCCAAAGCAAAAAATAAAAAATAAAAAATGTTTTGGATGCATTTGTCATTGACGGCACATGAGAACAGTTTAAAAAGTGTTCCCGCTTTTTTTTAAACCTTTTTATTTTCTATGCAGATGTACTCCTCTACCTAATCATCTCCAATCATTCTAGGATGACTAAGATTATTAAGTCTTTCCAAACACAGTTATTCAAGCCATCAGGTGAAAGTTCCTAAATTTATTTGTGTTTATCACAGAAGAGCTCTGACAAACCAATTACTGCAGGTGTGCCAGCATGGGAATGACACTTGATTTAAAACTCTAGTATTGCTGTGCAAGACAGAGAGACTTACACATGGCTGTAGATAAGAGTGTCATTGTTAAAACTCTGCATTTCAATAACTTGATGAGCTTTTTATTTTTTCATCCTGCTGAAAATGCGAAATGCAGCTTTTGCTCTAAGTTGGATTAGTCCACACCCTAAAAAAGAGCAACCAGGACAGCCAAGTGAAAGTTTTCATGATCTGACATTAAGCAGCGACACAGAGAAAAGGATAAAAACTCCTGACATTTCTTTATATGAAAACGTCACAGGTGATGATTTGCTAGATAAGATGAAAATTTGGTTGAATGTAAAACGATGCCTTTCCGGGGTTTTTTTTTTTAAATCAGTGTTTAAAAGTTAATGTCATTTCGTTCAATAAAAAAAAAGAATCAGCTGAAAACAGATAACATTACTGTGATTATCATCTGTAATATAACCACTACTTATTGAGTGCTTCTCACTCTGACTCACAGATGGTCTAGACTTGGTAGTACGACACTGATTACTGCATTGATATAGAAGTGGAATCATTTCAGTTTTTTCTTTAATGTAGGAAATTGCCTTTTTAGAAATCAATTTTATCCTTTTGCATATTTACTGCTGATAGCTGTCCTTTGTGCTTTAATGATGTCTCAGACTTTAATATCACACAGTCTGAGGCTGAGAATGATTTATATCAGAGGTGTTTCATGGAAAACACATGTTGACACCCCAGATTGTTAAAAGATAGCATAGTACTGCAAACTCAGGGGATGTACTGACGCTCCCGGTGGATGGTGGAGTCACTGAGATCCTCCTATTATTAGACCTGTCTAATATCTAATCTGTGCTAAAACAAAGGGGAATTAAAAGCTCAACATCATCTCTCTGAAACAAATGAAGTACTAATATATATTGAATATGCATAAGGATGTATGGAAATGTGTTTCAAATGCATTTTGTTACATTTTCCTTGTTGCATATGGACTATAATGCATAGTGTTTTCATGCACAGATACAAAATACCACTTTCCAACCTCCAAGGCAAAAATTGTATGTTTCTGTCCAGTAAATAAGAGAAATACATGAAATTACATCTGATACTTCATATTAATCATAAATATTGGGCTCAACTTCTGTGTTGTGCTTGTGGCTTTAATTTTAAACTTCACCCAATAGACATCAGTGACCTATTTCCTATTCCAACTTTTGTTCTTGGGTTGAAACACAAGTGGGTTGACTGCCTCTATATAGGGATTGCCCCACATACGATGCAGAATGCAGTATAGTAAATCTCCCTGACTCAAAGAGGTTTCCTGATCAGGTCTGGATACCGTCCAGCAGGATGTCTTCAGACCAGATGTCCAAATGTCTGGCAACAGTGTCGGTCAACTTGTTTAGCTCATCCAACCTTCAGGTCTCAGTAGAGTTCCTTCAAACTTGCTGCACTAAACGATGTTAACACAATGTTTTTGATCTTCTCCTACAGGACAAAGGACTCTCCACCACAGGAGTGATGTCCTAGAGACTGTGGTACTTGTCAATCCTTCAGTCGACACTGTCGTATCAGAGGTGAGCTCAACATATTCTGCGGTACCTTACTCTGCTGGATTAGATTTACTGAGGAAGCAGTAAATTAAGAAATGCTTACAGAAAGTTCAGCTTGGGTTAATATTTACACTTACTAGCTTACTGGCTATAAGGAAAATGAACATGTTTTGTTCTAGAAAACCTTGTTTCATTTTACAAAAAAGTACTATTCTGAAATGCTACATAAAAAATATAGCAAAATAAAAATTCAGATATTCTGGGATGAGCCTATAGCTGAGTAGTTATGGCGCATACCACATGGAGGCAGTGAGTCCCAAGTTTGAATACCAGCTGGCTGGACTTTAACTGTACATCATACCTCTACACTCTTGTATTGATACCAAACACCATTCCACCTAAAAGCTAATGAAACATTTCAGGACATTTAGACAAAATCTTGTTAACCTTGACACCGTTTAAATGCATCTTCTTTCTCTGTGATAAAGGTATTTCTCTTTATATCTTGTGGTCTCTCCTTTCTCTCCTTTAACTGTCCTCTGTCCCCATCTCTTTCTCTATCTGTGTGTGTTTTCTAGATCCAGTCTCTAGTCACTGACTCAACAGGACACAAGCTTCTGGTCTTGAGTGGCCAGAGCTCAGATCACGGTGGCCTTCTCCTTCAAACTGGGGTTTTCACCAACCAGACCTTTTCAAGTGTCTTTACTGATCCTGGGGTGAGTCTTCTACTCTCCTCCAACACCTAAACTCTCCTAAACTGTACATTCAGAAATTCATTTGTGTGGTCTAAAATAGTTTAATATGAAAGGACGAGTACACATTTTAATAGGTTATTTGTAAGTTATTTGTCAGTGCTATTGACAAAAAGAAAAGATGACTAACAATTAAATCAGATTATTCAAATTTCAACTTTCTGATCTTCTAGCTGAGTTAATCATTTTGTTCTTTAAAAAAAAAATAGCACCCTGCCTTGTTACATAGATTGTCAATTGTTTATGCACATCACCACTGACCCAGATATGTCCGGGTGTGTCTTACCTGCAGGTCAGTGAATTACTGGGCACAGCAGCCCCCAAGCAGCAGGCTACACTTACTGTGTCCTGCCGTGGGGAGGTGGGCTGGAGCTCCCTGGGACAGCAGCAGACCCTGAGGGAGTTCCTGGAATACAAGCTAAACCCTGAACCTGTTCTCCCGAAGATGGAGGGCGTCACAGAGTTCACAGAGTACATCTCTGAAACTGTTGACGTTCCTTCACCTTTTGACCTCCTGGAGCCTCCTACCTCCGGAGGCTTTCTGAAACTCTCCAAACCATGTTGCTACATCTTTCCCGGTGGACGAGGAGACTCTGCACTCTTTGCTGTGAATGGCTTCAACATCTTAGTGGATGGGGGCTCTGATCGAAAATCCTGTTTCTGGAAGCTGGTCCGTCACTTGGACCGCATCGATTCAGTTCTGCTCACTCACATTGGTGCTGACAATCTCCCAGGTATCAATGGGCTTCTTCAAAGGAAGATAGCAGAACAAGAGGAGGAGCAGTCACAGGGCTCCACCAACTATAGTGACTGGATGAAGAACTTGATCTCTCCTGAACTTGGTGTGGTGTTCTTCAATGTACCTGAGAAGCTACGTATGCCAGAATCGAATCTCAAAGTGAAGCGCAGCATCGAGGAGGCATCACTTACTCTGCAGTACCTTAACAAACTAGGAATCAAGCCGGAGCCTCTCTTTCGAGTGGTCAGCAACACCATTGAGCCCATTACACTTTTCCACAAGATGGGAGTGGGCAGGTTAGACATGTACATTCTCAACCCTGTCAAAGATAGTAAAGAGATGCAGTTTTTAATGCAGAAGTGGGCTGGCAACAGCAAGGCCAAAACTGGTATTGTGCTACCCAATGGGAAAGAAGGGGAAATATCTGTGCCCTACCTGACATCAGTTACAGCTTTAGTTGTCTGGCTCCCTGCCAACCCTGCAGAAAAGATTGTCAGAGTGCTGTTTCCTGGGAATGCACCACAAAACAAGATCCTAGAGGGCCTAGAAAAATTAAAACACCTTGACTTCTTGCGCTATCCTGTAGCCACACAAAAGGACATTGCCTCAGGAGCTCCTCCCTCTGTTATCAAACAAACCAAGTTAAAACAGAGAACAGATAGCAAAGAGAGCCTCAAATCCTCCCCCAAAACCACTGCAAAGGCCTCAAAGAAAGAAACTGAAGGACAAGATGATGTGTCAGCCACCACAGAGGCAAAGAGTGACTCTGTGAAGGAAAACATATCAGAGAAAAAAGAGGAGAAAAAGCCTACCAAGACGATAAAATCTAAAACTGAAGTGCCAGAAAAGAAAAAACTCTTGAAAGAAAAGTCATTAAAAAAGCATTCTAAGGAAAGAGTGTCAAAAATGGATGAGAAAAAGGACAAGGAAAAGAAAGAGATCAAGAAAGTAAAGAAAGATGACTCTGCTAAAAAAGATGAGAAAAAAGATGGTAAGTCCAAAGAGGACAAGAAGAAGGACACATCCAAGCCTGAGCTGAGAAAAATCTTGAAGCCTGACCTAAAGCCACTTACACCAGAAGTAAGAAAGACATTACATAAAGCTAAAGTGTCAAGTAAAGCCAAAACTGGAAAAAGTAAAGCAGCCAAGGCTGAACCTGCTGAACCCAAAGCAGAGGAGCCAAAAGTTGAAGCTGTTCAACCTGAACCGATGGAAAATGGAGCTGTCGAGGGCACATCTGCTCCCTCAACACCTGAAGACCTTACCAAGGATTTTGAAGAACTAGAAAAAACTGAAGTTAAAGCTGTATCAGCGGAGCCAGCAGACACTGTTGAGGTTTCATCAGAGCCAACAGCAGAAAGCCTTACGCAAGAAAGCAAAGAAGCACAAGAAGCAATTTCTGAAATCCCACCTGCATCAGAGTCTCCAGAAAAGTCAGTACCAGCCCCAGAAGTAAAAGCTGAAACTGAGGAAAAAGACAGAGAGTCAACACAAGAGAGAGAAATTGAAGAGGCTCAAAAGTTTGAGGATGAAGGAGCAGCATCACAAGATGAAGATGAGGAAGAGGAGGAGGAGGAGAAGGTCCCAACTGCTGAAAAGAAAACACAGCAGGAGGAAGAGGAAGAGGACATGGGAATAGGTGAAGATGAAGATGAATCAAAATGGAAGGAGGTAAAAGACGATGGACTTGACAGGAAACATGAGATAGAAGAAATGGAGAAATCAGAAAATCTCTCAGCTAAAGTTGTTACAAAAGAGGAGCCACAAATGCCTCCATCTATGGACGTGAAAGAAGAAGAAGAGCTGGAGGAGGAGGCACTGGAGAAAGCCGAACTAGAGGAAGTTGAGGATTTGGATGTAATAGCAGATGAAGAAATCAAAGTTAAACCAGAAGATGCAGTTGAAAGCACAACCACTGAAATTCTGACAGCAAGAAAAGATGAAGAAGAAGAGGAGGAGGAGGGCTACCTGTCACATGTTGGAGGGGCCACTGCTCCCATAACCTCAGTCGTTCAAGGTGCTGCTGCTGAACCCATCTCCTACATTCAAGACGAGACGATTCCTGGCTACTCTGAGACGGAACAGACCATCTCTGATGAGGAGATTCACGAGGAGGCCGAAGAGAGAATACCACACCTTCAATACGACGTTGGTGCCTATGATATCTCTGTTCCAGATCAGACGGGCTCCTTTGTAAACATTCATGGCATGCGGGAGATGCAAGCTGCAGCCATGACAGAGAAAGGTTTTATTCCAGGTGTGCATGAGCAAGTATCTGTGTTCACCAACATCATCACTGCTCCTTTAGCAGAAGAAGAACATGTGTCTTCTGCAACGTCCATCACAGAGTATGACAAAATATCCTCCTTTCCTACTTCTATCGCCGAAGATCAATCTGTGGCATCTGTCACAGCAACTCCAGCTGAAGAACCGTCCAAAACCCCAGCTCTCCTGTCAACCTCACCTGACGCCACCCAAGGCAAAGAGCAACCACTTTCTGCAGGAACTCCTTCACCACCTTCTTTAGAAGATGACAAACAATCCAAATCCCCAGCTGATGATTTACAGCTTCCTATTGCAGAAATGAAGACAGTTGCTAAAGTTCCTGATGCTCCTGAAGAGGAGGAAGAAGAAGAAGAAGAGGAAGAAGACCAAACTCCTAATGTTGACATTTCACTTGAAAAACTCCAAGAGGGCTATGCTTCATCACAGATGCTACAGGGTAAAGAGAAAGGCATTGAAAAGCTTGCCAGTTCAGTGTCTCCTGAAAAGTCTGTACATGACATAAAACCAATCCACCTACCAGTTGAGGAGGAAAATATTGATGCAGTCGCACCTAAAGACATTTCATCTGTTGTGCCTACCAGACCGTTTGGATCAGACTCAGTAACTTCAGAGAGTGAAGAGCGTTGCTTTAGTCCGGATGATATCACTGTGAAAATGGCATCCCCTCCACAGTCCGGACCCTCAAGTGCAGCTCACTCTCCACTTCGTCAGTCACCAGTAGAAGACAAGACAAAGGTCTTCTCTGATTTTGAAGTGCAAAAGCAAGAGGTGCTTTCTCATCAAGTCACCACAACTGACGATGAAACAAAAAAGAAAGATGACACAGAAGTAGACACACAGGAATATGTTGACAAACAGAAGGGAGATCAACATGAAGTAGACGTTCCAAAATCTTTCGACAAATCATTTGAAATGGACATCAAAGAGGCTCCAGTGATGAAAGAGCCAGAAAAAGACACTTCATCAGCGTCAAAAGATGAAGGGAAAAAGGCAGAAACAATACCTGTTGCTGGTGCATCTTTAACAGAAGAACAGCCAGTTTCAGGGACGGATTCCCTTATTTCATCTGCACAACATCATGATGACGCAGATGACAGGTTCAAAGACAAAGAACCTGAAGTGCCTGCACCAGGTAAATTTTCAGAGGGGGAGAGGCGTTTCTCGGATGATGATGGTGATGATAACAAGAAAGATGATGATGATCATGATGATAAATCTGCAGTTAAAACCATCAAGGCGGAAGAGGAGAAAGAAAAGGATAGCAAGCTCGATTCCAAACAAATGGAGGATGAGCAGAAACAGAAATCTGTCACCCAGATCCAAGAGGACGTTTCCGTCCTTAAGTCCATCACAGTTGAGAAAGCAGAGAAAGAGCACGTTAAAGATACATCGGATCATAAACCTGTCACAGAAGAAATTGCAAAAGACACTGTCACTGTTGATACATCCATTAAAGGTGGACACATAGAGCCGGAGAAGGAAATTATTAGTTTAGAGGCCAAACAAATGGAAGATGAGCAGAAGCAGAAAGGTGAAACACAAGAGCCTGATTTTGACCTCCGAAACAAAGGTGAGATTAAGGAGACAGAGGTTAAAAAGGATGATGTGTCTGATAGTAAGATTTTAAAAGAAGAAGACAAGAAAGAGACAGAAAAGAGTGATACTTTTGATATTAGCGCAATAAAGACTCAAGAGAAAGAGATCAGTGCGGTCCACCCTTCAGATATCAAACCTGTTAAAGAAGAGATAGAGAAAGAGGCAAAGAAAGACGGGATGCCCATCACTAAACCTACTCAAGATGAGGAAAAGAAAAAGGATGCAGAAACCTCTGATATTAAACTGATCGCAGATAAAAAGGAGGAAAAAGAGATGGAAAAGATCGATGTTTCTGCTGCCAAGCCCTTTATGGATGAGCAGAGGCAAGAGGAGAAAGAAATGGGTGACATCACTGTTGCTAAACTCAGCAAAGAAGAAGAAATCATTAGTAAGAGTGATGAATCTTCTGTTACCATGAAAGAAGAAAAGGGACAGGAGATTTGTAAAGATGCTAGCTCAACTGTCAGCCTCACCAAGATGGAGGAAAAGGATGTAAGTAAAGATAACACTTTTGAGGCCAAGTCAACCACTGAGCAAGAAAAGGTGGACACAAGTAAAAAAGATATCACTGACACTAAACCTTCCAAAGAACAGGATACAGATATAACAACAAAGGATGATGCATACATATTTGAAACAGCTCTAGAAAAGGATAAGAAGGAGGACATAGGTCAAGATGATACTGCTGCTGTTAAACTTATTATGACAGAGGAAAAAGACAAACTGCCGAGTAAGGATGAGATTTGTACTGTTATACCAACAGTTGGAGAAGAAAAGGAACTGGAGGAAAGCAAAGGGGATGCTGCTGTCATTAAACTTAGCAAGTTGGAGGATGAGCATGTGATCGCATCTAAGGATGATGATATCTTCGCCACACCAACCAAGACGGAAGCAAAAGAAACACCTCAATCTGTCAAACCAGTCATGGAAGGAGAGAAGGAGCAAGAGGCAAGCAAAGATGTCACTTCTGCTATCAAAGCAGCTAAGATGGAGGAGGAGGATGTAATGATGAGCGAAGATATCCCTGCTGTCAAAACACCCAGGGATGAAACAACCATGAAGGATGTCACATCTGTATCTACACCAACCACTAAAGGTGAAAAAGAGAAAGAAATCAGTAAAGATATCAGTCCTGTTGTATCAGCGACAGAAGATGAAAAGGAAAAAACAGTAGATAAGGAGAAAACACTTACTGTTAAACTGTCTGAAGAAGAAGAAGAAGTGACAGTTCAGGATCACAGTGTTGTTGTCAAACCCATCAAAGAGGAGAAAGATGCAGTCACAATTAAGGATGGAATTTCTGATATAAAACCCTCCAAACTGGAGGAAACAAAACACATTGAGTCCCTGACAGTTGAGGAGAAGAAGGTTGAATTAAAAGATGTTACACCAGATGTAAAACTCATCAAGGAGGAGGCAAAAGAAACACCAAAAGAAGGAACTACTGATAAAGAAATTGAGGTTAAAAAAGAGGATGGAAAGATTGACACTCCTCAGTTTGTATCCGTTACAGAGCAGAAGGAAAAGGAAATTGATGATGCTTCTGTTAAAACCACTAAGGATGACAAAGAGGTGGAAAAAGGTGACACTTCTGAGAAACAAATAAAACAGGAGATTAAAGAGCAGGAGAAGAGTGACACTGATGACCACAAACCCATTTTGGAGGAAATGAAGGATAAGGAAACTGAGAAAGATGGAGTGAAAAAAGAGAAAGAGACAGACGCCACTGTTGAACAACCGACGGCTGCAAAAGAGAAAGAGCCATTTAGAGTTGAAGCCATGGAGGAGGATTTTAAAGATGCAGTCATACAGGGCAGTTGTGAAGCGGAATCTATCAAACAGGAGACCGAGAAGGAGATGGACACGCCATTGAGCACCAAGGAAGAGAAGAAAGGTAAAGATGGTTATCCTTTCAAGTCTGAATCCAAGCAAGATGATAAAGAAGAGATATGTCTTCCACAGGCCAAGACACTGGAGGAGGAGATGACTAAAAAGGATGATATTTTTGAGATTAGTGACAAGCATATACATGAGGAAACATCTGAAAAGCTTCCTTTCACTCAGAAAGAAACGGAAACTCTTGGCACTGCATCAAAAGAAATGCCGCAAGAGTCCTCCGTAACAACATCAAGTGCAGACTTAAAAACCGTGAAAGATGGCCTTTCTGTGTCTCCCCACGACATCCAGGAGGAGACAAAAGAACAGGATAAAGGTTCAAAGGTCATTTTTAGTCAGGAAGAGAAGATGGAAAAAGAAAAAGATGATGCACATGTTGCAGAACTCAGCAAAGAACAGAAAATGGAGAAAGAACAAGAAAAAGAATACACTTATGAGACTGAAGATGTCCAAGATGAAAAGACAAAACCAGCAGAGGATGCAAAGATGATTGAAGAGAAGGATGCTGCTGACATGAAGACCGATGAGATCACAGAGAAAGACAAGTATGACTCCACTGATGCAGACCACACCAAAGAGGAGAAATGGGAGAAAGAGGAATTACAGGAGAAAGACCTGGACAAAACCATTAAACAACCTGCACAGACAACATCAGCAGAAACAGTGTTGGCGTCCAAGTTAGATTACAAACCTGCCTTTGTGGTTCAATCATCAGATGAAGACAGAGAGGATGAAGAGGAGGAAGATATTTGTATGGGAGGAGCAGGTTCCAGACCTTTGTCAGTGGAGCCGAGAAAATCTGACCATGACATCTCTCCTGAAGGTTTGCCGTTGACCCAAACTCCACACACAAGTGACCAAACTAAACCACCAGTGTCTCCACAGCCCCCAGTAGTTATACCTACACTTACAATGCAAGAGCCCTCTGTGGATGAAGACGTCAAAGAGTTTGGAAAAGAAGAATCCAGGCTTTCAGCTGAAGCAGACAAAGATATTGTGAAAACAGAAACCACATCTGCACCCCTTGCCAAGCCAGAGCCCTCCTTTGATTTTGTCACACCAAAGGAGGAGACAACCTTCATTTCAAAACAAGAAACAGCTTCTGGTATACCAGCTGCCAAAGCAGAACCAGACTCAGTGGAGAAAAAGCCTGTGTTGTCAACAGTGTCAAGCACCGACAGCCAACCCAGGAGCTGTACACTTTCGAGCACTGAAAGCCAGTCCAGTGTGGAGGAAACACCACAGCAAGACAAACAGGTGCCATCTCAGATGAGCTCTGGAGTCTGTGCTACACAAAAGACACAGCTGGATGAGAAACCAGGAAAGGAAGCAGAGAGGGAGATGGAAGGAGAACGAGAGGTGGCTTCTCCAGGATTATCTCAGCCTTGTTCATGTTTTATGTTGGAGAAAGAATCTGAGGATGTCAGACACACCACTGACACTGCAAAAATTGAGAATAAAGAGAAAATGAGCCCAGAGAAGGAGACACTCAGTGGAAGCCTTGGAGATGAGAAGCAATCCTGTGGTGCATCAAAGTATGATCCGTATGAAAAGCCCATCCCAAAAGATCAAGATTTGGACTCGAGAGAAGAGAGTGAGGTTTCTTTAGGTCTTGATCATCCTTCTGACATCTGCATTGATGATAACAGAAGAACAAGCCAGGCAGAGGCTGGAGGAGCCATGTTTCTCCTGGAAGATCAGTACAAAGAAGAGCCTCTGTCCTTCAGTAGAGTCGACTACAGCCCGGTGTCCCTCACCGAGAGTGAAAGAAGCAGTCACCACAGTCGAAGTGCCTCTCCTAAACATGAAGACAGAGAGAAAGGCCAAGAGGAAGAGTGTGAGAGAGAGGACAGAGCAGATACAACTTATGTTCAGAGCTTTTCATCTGTAGACATGCAAGACAACAAAATGTCCCAAGCTGCTGAGTCTTATTCTTTCAGTCCCAAAGAAGACAAACCTGAGAAATCAGAGAAAGAAAAAGAAGATATGCAGGAAGGTGCTGCAGCAGCTTTTCATATACGGGCAACGGGAGAAAGTGATGTAGTTTCTTCAAGTGCTGCCATTCAGACACCAGGTACATCAATAAGACAAGAAACACCTTCTCCCTCCTGGAGCCAGTCAGAGCTTGGTGCTCAGGCTCCAGCTACTAGTGTTGCTTTCGGAGAACTCACAGAAAAGGAAACGACAAAAAGAGACAAAGAAAAATCTGCTGAGTCGCTCAAAGAAAAAATGGATTCCTCTGATCATAAAAGAGAGGCCTCGCCATCTGGTCGGCACTCACCTGCAGAAAAAGACATTTTACCTCAACAAGCATCACTGTTAGAAGAAACATCGAGTGACTCAAGGACTGCTCCTGGAGCCACCTTCATAGGACATGAAATAGATGATAATGTTTTGGCTTCTGATAACAGTCAAATAAGCAGTTCTTCACCTTGTAAAGCCCCAGGTTTTCCTGAAGGAAAAGAGAGCCTGATAGATAAAAGGTTGCTTGTAGAGGGGGAAGATTTCAATGTTGATGATGACGAAGATGAAGATGAGGAGGAGGAGGAGGAGGAGGAAGATGAAGAAGAGGAGGAGTCAAGTGATGTAGATATGGAAAAGGGTGCAAGAGAGCAGTCTGAAAAAGAAATGTGCAGACGCGGCTCTGATGACAGTGCTGGATCAGCAGAGTTAGAGGACTCAAATAAAAAGTCTCAGTTGCCGACATCCAGCCTCCCTAAAGAGGAAACAGTCTGTAAACCAACCCCTGATGATGCCTCAGCATTTAAAGTCACAGAGACAGACAAGCAGGATGTAAGTAAAAAACCATCTGAATCAAAACCACACAAAGAGGAGGATGCCGTTAGTGATACAACCACATCCAAACCTCCTGAGACGAAGAGTGAAGATGTTGGTAAAACAACGCCATCACCAGACCCAGATTCACTCAAAAGAGATGTAAGCCTTTTTGCTCCACCAGATGTCCCAAAAGACACAGAAATAAAGAAAGTAGAGGACACAGATAAAAAGCATTTGTCTCCTGAACTGACCACAAAGAGGAGGTTGTCGTCAGCAGAGGATATTACTTTCTCTGAAGTACTAGAATCAAAAAAAGGTGATGAAGGCAAAGTGTCTCTATCACCAGAGACAAGCTCTTTGACAAAAGATACCTGTCAACCAACCTCTACAAGCAGCCTGCTAGGCAGCTCTTTGCCACCTGATCATTCTGAGTCCATGTCCAAACCTACAGCTAGTCCCTCGCCTCCCCTAACAGGTAGCTATGCCGATATCGGACCGAGCAGATCATCAGCTTATTCTGAGGGTTTTGATAGTGAGAACAGGCAAGTAGGGTTGAAGGAAGATAAGAAAGAAACATTTGCACTCTCAGATTCCTCCCAGCTATCCAAGCTAAGCGATGATAAATATTATAGCCAAAAAGAAGCTCAAGAAGAGAGTCTAGATGAGAGGCAGACCCAAGATACTACTGCAAAACATGAGGAAACTACCTCATCAGCTTGCACATACACCACCTTAACGTACTCTACTTCAACGTACTCCTCTACATCATACAGTTACTCATCTTCAGCCTCAACATCTGCCCCTTTTGGCCAACAGTCAGGAGACAAAGTTGAAACTTTCACAATGTCAAGCTCTGAAGTACCTTTAGCCAAAGAGGAACCATCATTCACAAGCTCTTGCTTTGGAGGGTTTCAGAGAGACGAGTACATGGAAGTGACAACGACACCGACAGCAAAAGTGTCTCTACCCAGCCAGTTTGATGAGGCTAAACCATCATCTCTAGGCCTGTCCACCACTGCCAAGCAGGTCGAGGATCAAGGTGGTTCTGCAAAGCCAGAATCAGACACAAAGTCAAGTACTAAGATGACAACATCTACCACAGCACCCTCTCTACAAAGTACAGAAACTGCAAAGGTGTCTGAGAGTTCATCCATGTCAGAGGCTCGCTTTGATGTCTCTCCACTCCAAAGGGCTGACTCCTCTGACAGGGGGTCCCCAGGGTCAGCTGAAGACAAAGAGCCTGATACACTTGAAATGGAGGACAGCACCTTACCATGCCGTATTGAATGTCATAAAAGCAAAGTGGCTGAGCAAAAAGAGACTTTTTCATCAATTACTGAGTCATATGCGGTAGAGAGTACCATATACTCCACAGAAACAAAGACAGTTAGCATAACCTCGAGTACCATTGTGTCTAAACCTGATGTGGCAAAGGAAACAACTCCACAGACAGCCTCAGCCACTCCACTGAGTGACAGTGGAACTACCAAAACCTCATGTGCCATAGCAGACCTGCCCAAAGCAGAGGAGGGCAAAGAGAAAACAATGCAGGAAAAAGAGGAAAAGACAAATGGAGCTGTTCTACCTTTGAAGGAAGATGTCAAAGTGTCAGAACAAGTAACAAGTGAAAAAGATGGAAAGACAGAGACACTAAAAGACACTGAAGTCAAACAGAAAACAGATGACAAGACAGTGGATGAAAAGACCAGTAAAGATAGCACAGAAGAGAAAAAAGCAACACCTGATCCAAAGCTGAGTGAAAAAGTAGAAATTGGTAGACAAGGAGAGGGTGAAATAGTGGAGGAAAAAAGTTTGTTGGAAAAGCCATCAGAAAGATTAGAAATGAGAAGAAAGAGCAGTATATCTGATTGGGAGCTACTACAAAGGCCCGATGACTGCCCCAGTGCCCCCCCTCCAGGGTATGGTGATGATGATGATGATGAAGAGGAAGAAGAGGAAGCAGTAGAAGCAATGGAATGGATGTCCAGCGCCCACAGTACCCCTGTGTCCTCCTTAAAAGATGCATATCACACAGAAACCTCTAGTAAAGGAGACGAAAAGACTGAACGTCCCTCTGACTTGAACACCGGAGCAACCTCCTCCTCTGCCTCCCCTCAAGGCTTCTCCTCCTGCGAATATAAACATCGCAAAGGAGACCTTTCTCCATCCTTCATCAATCCCAGTCCTCATCAGCTCTCTAGTGACGAGGGCGAGGGGGATGACCACAGTGACCACTCCCAGGAAGGGGATGAGGACGATCAGGAGCAACACTCTGTGAAAAGGAGGTCACACAAGCAGAGGCGCCACCACACTCAGACTCACCATGGAGACGCAGCACAGGGGCCACACCAGCCGCCTGGAGCAATGTCATCTGGTCTTGCTGTGACTTTAGCTGGAGAGGAAACTCCTCCCACGTCCGTGAGCGAGTCGTTGCCTTCACAGTCCGACTCTGACGTCCCTCCAGAAACTGAGGAGTGTCCATCTATAACGGCAGAGGGAAATCTGGACTCAGATGAAGACGCTGAGCATCTGCCAGTGGACAAATCATCTGCCTCTGGAGCTGGTGGGGGCCACCATCCTCCCTCACCACGATCATCTCAGAAGACTCACGATCCCCTCCCTACCCCCATGAAGGACCCTCTACCTCACCCTCCCCACCCAGATGTGTGCATGGTCGATCCAGAAGCTCTTCTCAATGATCACAGCAGCACAGAGAAACTTCTCAAAAAGGAGCACAAGACCACCAAGGGCCTCAGGAAGGGCAAACCCAAGTCAGCCTCTCCTGCTCGTAAAGGGGAATCCAGAAAGAGGTCTTCTACTCCAGTGAAGCAGGCTAAGGACTCTGCCTCACCTCGATCAGCCTCCCTCAGGAGGAAGGACACGGACAGAAGCTCTAGGCTGATCAAGATGTCTGAGACCCAGGGCTCAAGGAGTGAGATCCTGACCCCTGGGAAAGGCTTAGTCAACGGCATCAAGAGCAGTTCAGGTGTGTCAACATTTTCAAATTCTGTAACACAACAAAACATGAATTTACCTTTTGGTGAATAAAAATGTGCTCACACCACAATAAATCAGGCAATTAATTTGCCATTAGAAGAAACTGTAAAATGATTAATTACTTCTCCTGGATGTTTTATCATCACTGGACGGAATTGTATTTGTTAAGATTTGGACATTAAAAGACTGTTTTCAAATGAATCTGCAGAAAATGGAAAGTTTATCAGAACTCACCTAAAAGTTAAGTCCAAGCCCCACGAGCAGGATTTGTGACTTAATGACTAGTTTGGAAGTCAGTCTTGGTTCAATAGACAGCTCACACAAGTGCCATGTGGAAACTCTGAGCCTTTAGTGCACATACATAGAATGAATTTTGACTGATGGAAGAGATCACTTGTAGCCAGTAATTTGACTTGAAAATATTTGAATATTTATACATTTTGAAAATTTTCCATGTGGCATTTTAAGAACCACACTAAGCAGGTAGATGAACTGTTTCAAATGACGAAATCATATCAGGCTCAAACTGTTATTTAAAGCAGAGTATTTTTTTATACATGTTTGAGCATGCTTTAAGAACAGTGCACATTGAGTGTTGCACACAAAACAGTAAAGTCAAAGTTGATTGCACCTCTATACAGCCAAAATGAGAATGAAGCCTTATATTTTCATTATATTGTGTATGTAGAAACTCTATTTGAGATTCAAATAAAATTCCAATTCCAATTCCTATTATATAACCTTGTTAATGCTCTTAGTTGAAATATCCCAAACTACATTAACATAAACTGTAAAGTGTTATACTCAAATTAGTAGATACCACTTAGGAAAAGTTCTTGATAATATTTTGTGTACATGACACTGGTTGAGTGGTTGCTGTTAACCTAAATTTAATTTGTCTTAGTAAATGTGCTTGTTTTGGGGAGTTGATGTAATCATGTTAACATTTCCTGTGTATTTCACAAGTCTACATTTCACAAGTCTACACTTAATACCGTCAGTACAGTCCTGGTGTAAAAGACTGGTGGGATTAACTTTTACAGTGAAACATTAAAAAGCAGAGCAAGTGTAATTTGTAAAGGAAGCAGGAGGACCTTGGAATGATAGAATTGCAGCACAGACACGATTCTGTACAATTATACATTGTGGTAATATTTTTGCAGAAAAATTGACTTGTGTAAATAAATTAAAAACAGCTTGTTCAGTTGATGAAGAAGCTGCTTAATTTATTTGCTATGTAGTGCAATTTTAGTAAATAAGTAATGTTATTATACTAAAGCTGGTTGATATTTTTGCTCACTTGAAGGAAACAACACCCAGAAATCTAGTTCGACTGTCCCCCCTGGACCACCCGTCTACGTTGACCTGGCCTACGTGCCCAACCACTGCAGTGCCAAGAATGTAGACCAAGAATTCTTCAAGAGAGTGCGAGCTGCATACTACGTAGTGAGCGGAAATGATCCCGGCAGTGGAGAGCCCAGCCGTGGTGTCCTGGATGCCCTGCTGGAGGGCAAAGCTCAGTGGGGCTCTAATTTACAGGTATTTAGCCTCCGTTTCTGAATGCAAGTGTGCGTAGTTCTTCAAACGTTCATAGTCACAGTGTGCTGTAGCTACTGTACATACTGATGCTGCTTTGACAGACTGTTATGGTAAACTAAAGGCAAAGTTTCCTTGTTAGTGAGATAGGAGGGGAATTATAAGGTTCAGAGAGCCAAAAGGAACCCCAATTATGCAGATGACTGCTCATTCGGATGCACGGTAATGGATTTTTGCAGATATTTTCCAACTTGGCAGATTGCGTTTTCTGCTTGTCAATTTGGGCATCTTGGGCCCATGCCGATATTTCATGGTAAAGCCTTTATCTGTTGATACCGGGGATGTGAAAACACCATTGTGCATCTATCATGTAAATTATTATAAAGCAACTCTCAGCACTATCCTTATTTTACCTTTGGATGGTCTACTACAGTAAGAGATCAGAAGAATCTTCACTCTGGCCTCTAAAGAGAAAGTAAATTAAGCTTATGTCAGCACATTATCAACAAAGTTAAAATAGAGTTAAAGTACGATATGTTGTGCTGGTTTGCCATGCTTAACTGAAGGGTAGGAAACTGACCAGGAACATTCCCAGGTGGCCATCATACCTTATGCAGATACCTCTACCCTGACTGGCTTTAGCTTACTACAGCTGTGCACAATTCTAAAGTCTGTGATACTTACGGTTGCCAGAGTTGAGACAGATCTTTTCCAGCAGAAATGTGCTGCCAAAAAATCTGCAGGAATGTGATGCTATCCAGTTAGCACTGGCCAAACATCTGTGAAACACTTCAGGCAAGACAGAGAGGTGGTTGTGTACATATCCCACAGTCTGTTTAGGCAATGTGCATGATAACAAATTTAATTTAAAAATGGCTCCAACTCTCTTAATGCTTCCAGCAATTGACTGGACTGAACTTTTTTTCAACTGGACATTCAAAAATATAGGCTGGTTTCAAAGATAAATGAGATTCATGGTGTTACTGTGTCTAAATCATGTCACCACTTAAAAAGGAACATCATCTTAACCAGGGGTATTCAATTAAAAGTCACTGAGGTCCAGTTATTAAAATTTCCTCCAAGTAACAGAGCCGAATCAAAGTTCAGTTTTTGTCTTATAGCCTTCCCCTATGGCCACATTTTCATGGTTTCAGCAATATTTATTGCTAATTTTCAGTGCAGGATATGTTTAACTGAGTGCAGTTAGCTCTTTTACCCTGGCAAAAAAAATGAGGCCTTTGTTTCAGATTAGAGAAAACAAAAACTTCAGAATAAAATACATTTTTTAAAAAGTGCAAAACAGTGCCGAATAACCTTTTTGTCTCTTAAATTAAAGAGGTCCCAGCCTAAAGAACTGAAGGCCTCCACTTCAAATAAAAAAGTCAACATCCTCAGAAAACAAATAAATAAAAGGTTTCGTTTGCACGTTGCTGGGCTGTAAATGTATGCCTGATGAGTCGGATAGATCTGTCATACAGGGCTTGCAGCTCGGTTATTTTGCGTGCACTCAGCTCGGACTTCAGGAGATAACTTTGCTCAAAAAAGCTGTGCTTTGTTTCGTAGCGGCGCTTCGCGTTGCTACTTTTAATTAATGCCACATTTCCAGAGCATATGAGGCACACTGATTGTGAACTGCCTGACAGAAGAATGAACATACATTTCTCCGTCCACTCATCTCAAAGCAGCGGTTTTCCTCATCAACCTTCCTTCTTTTGGAGCAAGCCATGCTGTCATCACTGTCTCTTCCTCTCTGCGCAAAGTGGCAGCGGCGGTGAACTGTGGCACTTCCGTGGCGCACTGGCCATGCAGGGTAACCAAACGATTTGATTGGCTCGACTGAGTGGAGCTATTGCCGTATTAACTGGAGTAGCAAAAATGCTCCATTAATAT